AACCTAAGTCCTCCAACAGAGCAACATGAATAAGTATAGGACATAAAACTAATAAAACAGATACAATAGGGCAAGAGAATGTTTTGAGATGTGATTATTTATAGCTAATTTTGAGTTGATTAGACTTAATTAACACTTGTAGTTTCATGTCTTGTTACATAAGAATATATTTGTTCGGTGTTATTATGGGAGAATTACTATTCTTGTGGTACTTCTGCCTTATTAGGCCATATTGAGCAGAGCATATTAAGACCAAAACTCATGTACAACAACTTCCTTACTTTCAATTAATCAGCACTAATTAGAGGGTTGTTGAGGAAAAACTCTCAACTAATGGCTTATTACTTGTAGAATATGGTCATGTAGAATAAGGCATTAATAAGAGTTTTATAATGAGTAATAAAGAGCCAATATACTGATGATATGCATGTTAATTAACAACTAGTTGATGGTTAATTTGTGTACCTTAATATAAAGTGTTACTGATATTATTAGATAAATAATTAGCAAGATGCAAACAGATGGATGTTCGTTAAAAAGTTCAGGTGTTTAATATTCTTTAGCCTCTCATGTTTGTGTTTCTAAGACAGTACTTCACTTTTTCAAATGCATCTCTTTGAGTAATGCAAAGACATTTTAACCGCCTGCAAACCAAATATTAGCTTCCACTTTTTAATTTGTGCACAAAGCTGTTCGTTTCATACGCCGACGACAGCACTGTATTTATATCTAAACAAAATGTTCGTAGTGTTTTAAATACTTTCAATTGTGCCGTTTATTGCCCTTTATTGTGTTCTTTTAAATGCATTGCTTTGTGTTATGCAAAGCGTAGATATCATAATTTGTGCAAAGAGCTGGTCGTTGCGTACGGTGACGACAGCACCGTATTTATATCCCAAATGTTCAGTTTGTGTCGCTTTAAATGCTATAAACCCAGCGGTTTACTCACTGTGAGCGGCTCTCCTCCAGTACCGGGCTTGTAGATGATTTTGTAATTCTGCACGGCGCCGGGAGCCGGGTCCCATTTCAGCGTCAGAGAAGACGTGGTGGCGTTAAAAACCCTCAAGTTTTTGGGAGGTTCAGCCGGCACTGGGAGCAAAAAGATAAACCCAGTGAGAAAAAACAGGAACATCAGAGCATGTGTTGGGTTAGCGATGGAGATGATGGTGATGGTGGGGATGAAGATGGCAGTGATGATGATGATGCTCCCACAATGGCGCAGTTTTTAAAATTGCTGTAGGGGTAAATGTTAGGATGAAAGCAGCAAATCAGGAGCAGAGCTGGAGGTCAGTGACTTCTCATTCAGATCCTTTTAAAAGTGTAATATCTTAAAATCAATATATGTTTTTTATATTATAGTTAGCGCTACATTGTGCCTGCAGAATCAAAAATGTCCCTTTAGCGTTTAGGAATATCAATTACTTAAAGATTGCAGGACATTTTGAATCAACTTTAAAAATGTGTGATTGTAAAAACATTAGTCGAGGCACCTTTCATAACAAACTTAAAGATGATAACGTACTTATTTGGGGGTAATAATGACACATTTTGATAATAAAACAAATAAAATGCAGGTTTGTATAGGAGTTGGAGCACTGGTGGGCAAAAGCTACATGCTAATCACGCTAAATACAGAGCTAACGAAGCAGCGGGTGGGTATGGCAAGCTGTTAAGTCCCACAGATGGATAAAAAAAAAAGAAAAACAACTCAAGCGTGATTCACCCACACAGAGATTTGAGTCTCTGGATTTTACATTAAAACACTATTTAAGTGAGTTATGACATAAATTACTGCACAGCTTTCTGGCGTTAGCTAGCTAGCTCACATGTCAGTTAGCATCTAACTCAACAACACTGACTAAAGCAACTTTACACCCGCCAAGTTATTATTAGGTAATAACAGCAGAACAGTGGGGGGTATGTAGTCTAAACTGCAAGTGAAAATATTGTAGCCTACGGGTTATTATCAGTGTAGGTAATGCTAACATGCTAACATGCTAACGACAGGTGTGAAGATAGTCCGCTTTGCTCTTCTACCATCTATTTGTATACCTACACTGCAGTTTGGTAACGGAGCTAATCTTGTATTTGATTGGACTCAAATGTGTAAATTTGTTCATTTAATTCATTTCTTATTTTAACAGTTACTTTAATCTTGTGTGAACCTGTACTGTCCTGTTTTTCCATCTCACTCTGTTGCTGCTTAAACTCCTGAATTTCCACATAATGAATAGAGGTCCATCTTATCTTCTCTTATTGTATACCGTCCGAACCATTGGCTGAGTTTTGCCAACGACTACGTGTCCGCAGTAACGTTGCTCGTAAAACAATAGAGCTATAAAGAAGTTTGTTGATTATACACAACATACATTTGATGAGACACTATTTTGGTGCTGTAAGAAATACTTGTTGATTGATATCTACAGTTTATTTTGGAATACAATTGGGGAAATGCTAGATGAAATGATGAAAGGTGAATTTGAGTAAATAAGAAGTTGACTGAGCCCCATCCCTACTGCAGAAACACTGAACAACAATGCAAACAACATGCATGAACAACGATGTGAGGTGAACGCTGATGGAGGGTGAAGTGAAGGAAACGTATTGTTAGGATGAAATGGATTCAAAAACAAAACGATGACGACGGGATCCACACAAATCATGAACCTGTCTTATATCACATACCCTTCGGAGCGTCTAACACTGGAAAGAAACGTTGAGAAAACAACATGGTTATTATTTGAACGTCTGTTGGATAATATAATAATAAACCCTTTCATACAACAAGTGCTTCACATAGACACTTCAGGAGAAAGTGAGGATGCTTACGTGTTCTCTCGTTGCCCATCAGGTCTTCGCTCTCGGACTCGTCGGGGTAGATGGCCGTGACGGTGACCGAGTACACCGTGTCCGGGTCCAAGTTCTGAAGAGCGTGAGACGTCTCGTCGCTGTTCAGGATGGCCTGAGGACAGAGAGAGAGAGAAGAGGAAGAGGAAGGAGGGTTTTATGATGTGGAAGGAGGATGTTTGAGTTGTGTAGCCGGAGAGCCGGTTGGAGAAGACGGGTTTAAGAACAAGCGAGAAGACGATGAAGATGAAGAATCAACTTTATTTCTAAAGCACTTTAAAACCTCCAGACCAAAGCGCTGTACAGAGAGACAGACAGTCACACAGCTCAGCTCACAAAACATACAAATAAGTATAAAATCACATAAAAGATACAAACACAAAACAAACCAGAACAAACGTAACATAAAAACAACCATATAGTAAAAACAACAAACCACTGAAAACAAACAGAAGCAACATCTACTTGTTTACGAATGCTAAGGAGAGGTGGGTTTAAGACGGGATTTAAAAACAAACAGTGTGGGAAGATGAAGAAGATGATGAAGATGATGAAGAAGATGAAGAAGAAGATGAAGAAGATGATGAAGAAGATGAAGATGAAGAAGATGAAGAAGATGATGAAGAAGATGAAGATGAAGAAGATGAAGAAGATGATGAAGACGATGAAGATGTAGATGGAGAAGATGAAAAATATGATGAAGATGATGGTGAAGATGAAGAAGATGAAGATGAAGAAGATGAAGAAGATGAAGAAGATGATGAAGAAGATGATGAAGAAGATGAAGAAGATGATGAAGAAGAAGATGAAGAAGATGATGAAGAAGATGAAGAAGATGATGAAGAAGATGAAGAAGATGAAGAAGATGATGAAGAAGATGAAGAAGAAGATGAAGAAGATGATGAAGAAGATGAAGAATAT